CTCTGTCTAAAGCGTGTGCACAGATGCTGGGTTCTCTCTTAGAATCTGTATTGCTGACCGAAGTCTGTGCGTTTTTACAAACCAAAGGACTTGGTTTCTTATTAACTTTTGTTAAAATGTCTCGTAAGATGTTTTGCAAACAGCAAACTCAGTTTCCCAGTGATTATAAACGATGACTGCCAATGTGCTTTATTCCTTTTTAATGCACTAACAGCTTTGTTGATTTTTACTTGAGTTAGTTTAATTATCGTTAGCAGGATTTCAGACTGATATGCATGGCATGGTCACTTCCCATACACACAGACACACGTACACACACACACACACACATACACACAGACACACGTACACACACACACACACAGCCATGATTTGCCTTCTTTTGTTGATGACCTTCCATCTTGAGGTTACCTGCCATCAGCTCAGCTATGCTAATTAGCACCCAGAGCTGGTTAATTGGCTGTAATTAGGTGTCGTATGTGTGGTGCTGACCGGGTCCGAGCTGACCCGGAGCTCTCTGTGCTGCTGTAATTAGTGTATGCAGCTGCTACTCTGATGGGCTGCTCTCCCACCCCCGGCGCCCCCTGCTTTGTCCATGCTGTGGTCGAGCTGCTACTCATGCATTTTCATGCTCTTAATAAATTCGATAACTGCTTTCTGTTTGTACTCCATGCCTAACAGCAAAACGCACCAATAACTCCAAAACAAACACATTAGGAATCATGTGATTTATATGGATAAATCATAATATTATTTTAATTTTATTTTCATCTTTAAGATATGCAGTAATGTGTAATTCTCATGCAAATTCCTTACAATGTATCCGCAAGATCACATAACATGAAATATCCACATATTTTCTTTAATTCATTTAAACTATGTAAAATAGTGTGAAATTTCACTCTAGTCACCAAGATTTTTTCTTCGGGACATTTTCTATAAATTTATAATGTCCGCTAAGAATAACCAGTGTGAGAATTTTATGAACTATGATGGGTTGGCACCCCATCCTGGGTTGTTCCCTGCCTTGTGCCCTGTGATGGGTCGGCGCCCATCCTGGGTTGTTCCTTGCCTTGTGCCCTGCGATGGGTCGCCGCCCCAACCTGGGTTGTTCCCTGCCTTGTGCCCTGCGATGGGTCGCCGCCCCATCCTGGGTTGTTCCCTGCCTTGTGCCCTGCGATGGGTCGGCGCCCCATCCTGGGTTGTTCCCTGCCTTGCGCCTTTAGCCACAGGAATAGGCTCCGGATCTCCCATGGCCCTGAATAGGTCAAGTGTTTTTAGAAAATGGATTGCTGGATGGAAAATTTTAAGAGGTTATCATGAATCCTTGAAATCGTGTCTGTGCTCTGCATCCCTGTGTTCTCTGTATATACATACACACTGATTGTATATATAGGGGGTTTAATGGTGCTGTCTTAAGCTACAAAGCATATGCATCAAAGCCAATCTGGGGACCTCTACCAAAGAAGGGATGTAATGCTACCACTAGAGGGAGTATTTTTGAGTGTTTTGCCGCTTACTACATTTGCCCTTATAACCTCTTTCTCTATCCCCTTTTCTATATTCTTTAAATCTCGCCCCCATTCCCCAGAGTACAGGTGGAGTTCTATGTGAATGAGAACACTTTCAAGGAACGCCTGAAGCTGTTCTTCATCAAAAACCAAAGATCCAGTGAGTGATGCAGCAGAGTGGGCCGAGTGTGAGGGACAGATGTATGTCTGTGTGTGTGTGCGTGTACGTGTGTGTCTGTGTGCATGTGTGTGTACATGTGTGTCTGTGTGCATGTGTGTGTACATGTGTGTCTGTGTGCATGTGTGTCTGTGTCTGTGTACATGTGTGTACATGTGTGTCTGTGTGCATGTGTGTGTGTGCATGTGTGTCTGTGTGCATGTGCGTGTACATGTGTGTCTGTCTGCATGTGTGTGTACATGTGTGTCTGTGTGCGTGTGTGCATGTGTGTCTGTGTGCATGTGTGTGTGTGTCTGTGTGTCTGTGTGCATGTGTGTGTACATGTGTGTCTGTGTGCATGTGTGTGTGTGTCTGTGTGCCTGTGTGCATGTGTGTGTACATGTGTATCTTTGTGCATGTGTGTGCATGTGTGTCTGTGCGTGTGTGTGTACATGTGTGTCTGTGTGCATGTGTGTGTGTGTCTGTGTGTCTGTGTGCATGTGTGTGTACATGTGTGTGTACATGTGTGTCTGTCTGTGTGTGTACATGTGTGTGTGTGTGTGTGTGTACATGTGTGTCTGTGTGCATGTGTGTGTACATGTGTGTCCGTGTGCATGTGTGTGTGTCTGCATGTAAATTAGGTTTATATTGCAATTTGAGGACAATGTAATAAAAACCTGTTATTTTGACACTGCGGGGATAATTTTTTCAGGTTCCCACAAAGAATGCAATCAAAGAACGAAAAATGCCAAGTCTCATATTTTGTTTGGTTACTTATGGTTAAGATTAGGGTTGGGTAGGGGTTAAGGTCATCATGTTGGGATTAGAGTTTTCCCCATATAAATGACTGGAGAGTCCCCACAAAGATATAATTACAATCCTGTGTGTCTGCGTGTGTGCCTCTGCATGTGTGTGTGTCTGCGTGTGTGCTGTGCATGTGTGTGTGTGTCTGCGTGTGTGCCACTGCATGTGTGTGTGTGTCTGCGTGTGTGCTGTGCATGTGTGTGTGTGTCTGCGTGTGTGCCACTGCATGTGTGTGTCTGCGTGTGTGCTGTGCATGTGTGTGTGTGTCTGCGTGTGTGCCACTGCATGTGTGTGTGTGTCTGCGTGTGTGCTGTGCATGTGTGTGTGCGAGTATGTTTGTATGTGATAACGAAAGCAGCTGGGCCACGTGACATTTGTATCTTTACGGCGACATTATGGGTCGACAGTTTGTTCTACTGTACCTTTGTTGGATGGATAACAGGCTTCACGGGCAATTTCCCCTTTTGTGGACAGATGATCGCTTTGCCCTCGAATTGTGAATGGTTTCTAAAGTTCTGAATAACTCCCACTTGCCCTCATTGTGTCTGGCTGCTTGACTGACCTGCTCCTCCTCTGTGCACTGTTTCCAGTACATCTCTTGTTCCTCCTGCAGGTCTGAGGGTGCGACTATTCGACTTCTCCCTGAAGGTGCTCAGCTGCATACTCTACATGATGCGGGTGTTGCTGGATGACCCCCGGGAGGGGCGGGGCGGATGGTGAGAGTGGGGCGGGGACATAGTGTGTGTGGGTGGGGCTAAAATGAGAGTGGGGCGGGACATGGCATTTGTGGATGGAGGGATATTAGGACTGGGCCATATCATATTGATATTATATTGCACATGCACAGTAATCAACAGGGCTTCAGATGACAGGTGAAACATCTGGATTTTTGGTACTATATGGACGTTTATTTATGCCCACAATTTGGTAAGCAGTTTAGTAGTAATCAGTATAAATTAATATTAATGAGGTATTTTATGATGCCATAAAGCTAGTGATCAGCATAAATTTGGCATATCTTTATGTTTAATAAACGTGTCAGACATTAAACTGCTTTTTACCTCTCCACAAGGTCCACAACATCTCCTCTTTTAAAAGATGTCGTGGCTGCTGAGCTGTTCCTTTCTTCACCACCACTTGAGTGCATATCACATTGGAGTATACCAAACCATAGTATACCAAAACAGTATTATGTGGTATGCTCTGCTACAGTGCATGTTGCACTGAAGTATACCAAACCACAGTATACCAAAACAGTATTATGTGGTGTGCTTTAATAAGCATAAAGATTTAATAAGCATACAGATTACCAACTTCTGGTACCAAAACAGTATTATGTGGTGTGCTTTAATAAGCATAAAGATTTAATAAGCATACAGATTACCAACTTCTGGGCATCTCATTACTATTTTAGTTGTACTCATAATTGGTTTACCAAATGATGGCCATAAATATGCATCCATATAGTACCAGAAAGCTGGCAGCAGACCAATGGTTTCACCTACAGTATCATCGGAAGCCCTGGTGATTATTGCACATGCTCAATATAACATCTATACTATATTGCCAAAAGTTTTGGAACACCTGTCT